ACGTCTTCATGTATGGGACGAGGAGCAAAATTCTGGAGGATCTGATATGAGTCATTAATTTCATGGATAGCATGCCCTGCTTTTCTTGCCATTCTTGCTGATGTTTTCTTAACAGCCCCCATTTTGTCTGTAAAACGCTCTTTCAAAACACTCTCAAAACAATCGAAGATGTCACCTTCTTCCGTAGGTAAATTCCTACGGAATAACTACAGAATTCTAATTTGGAATATAATATTATTATTCGTAGGTAATGTGTAGGTGATTATCAACATATTACCTACATAAATTATTTTTGTTGCTAATATGTAGGTAGTTTGTAGGTGATTTAGGGCAAATATTTTAGTGGTTATTCCGTAGGCATATCGTATGTAATTACCAACATATTTTATTTCGTAGGTGATTTTTGTAGGTAAATAAGAGTTTTCTAGTAGTGTGTAGGCAACGCCCATACCGGCGTTTTTGAGAAAAAGAAGAGAAACGACGTCAATTGAATGTGGTGGTGGTAATGGGAAGCAACGCGCAGACGTATAATGCCAATAACGGTGAAGGGGGCTGTGTTTGTGCGTTATAACGTCCAAAAACTCCTCTGTGGGCGTTGCCCATACCAAGCAGTCTAAGACAATACAAAAAAAATTCTATATTTTATTTTCAAAAAATAAAAATAAAAAAATGAATGAGGTACCGATTACTAACGTGTTTTGATGTATTTGAGATTGGGGGCCTTCGTGCGAGATTTGTGTTTTTTAGTATATAATTGCCGAACGATCATTCCCTTAAGCCCAAAAGAAAGTAACATTTCCAACATAATTAATGGGATATTTAAAAAATGAAAAATTAAAGGGGCAATTACTAATCTAGCCAAATTAAGGAAGTAATTAACAATTTTTAGCCAAAAATTAGGATTTGTCCCAAACTAGCCCACGAAACCGTAGGTGGTTAAAATGGCCTACTGTTTCGCCCATTAACCTACTGTTTTCATTTTAGTATATAAAGATTTTTTTTTTCATTTTTCACTACGAAACCGTAGACGAAAAAATGGTCTACTGAATCCTCTAAGAAGTCTACTGTTTCCCAAAAAGTAGATTAAAAATGATCTATTGTTTCGTTTAAAAACCTACGATTTTGGGTTTTTTTGGGTATTTGACTACTAATTCATTTATTTTGACTATTATATCGTACCTACTGTATATTAAAAGAAAAATCTCTTTTAGAATAAAAGTTAGTGTTTTTTTCATCTTAAAAAAAAAAAAAAAAAAAAAAACCCAAAACTGTAGGTTTTGGACGAAACGGTAGATCATTTTTAATCTACTCTTTAGGAAACAGTAGACTTCTCAGAGGAAACAGTAGACCATTTTTTCGTATACGGTTTCGTAGTGAAAAATGAAAAAAAAATCTTTATATACTAAAATCAAAACAGTAGGTAAATTGGCGAAACAGTAGACCATTTTAACCACCTACGGTTTCGTGGGCTAGTTTGAGACAAATCCTAATTTTTGGCTAAAAAGTGAGAAGTCATTAATGAATTTGGTTAGATTAATAATTTTCCCAAAATTAAACATCCTCCAGCTGCTTTTTGTTCAATCCTTGCATAATTAGGGTTTTTTAGTTAGTAGGCATTATGTGGGTACCGAAGGGCATCTGTAATTGTGTATTACAATGACCCTTTGTTTTTTTTTCTAGTAGCGGTATATATTTCAACAATTTTGTATATCATTGTGTAATTATACATAAACATTTTTCAGTAATTTACCTACACCGAGCTGATAAATAAACCTAAAACAATTTAAAAACATATATAAACCTAATTAAACCAAAAAAAACATAAACCAAAACCAAATTGACAAATCAATAGCAGTACCGAAAAAAAAAACAAAAAAAAAAGACAGGAGCATGAGAGCATCAGAGACAAGGGGAGATGACCGATCGATCGAGGAGGAGAGGGCAAAGAAATAAGGGCGAGTGCAAGAGAAGGAGAGGAGCATGGATATAGTGCCAGTGAGGGAGGAGCTAGCGATTGGATATCATCACTGAATTAAGGTCTTATCGCTGCCTAAAAGGGCATAGTATATATATCGATATTGTAGTAATTATCCTAATCATCCTCCTCTTTAGCACCACTAATTAGATCTTTTTCAAGCCGAGAGCATTGACCTCATTCTTGTCACGGCAGATCCATCCATAGTCCCGGGCTTTATGTTAATCAAATGGATGAATCCTTAATTTAAAGGCACAAATGGGTTGCAATATTAATGCTTATACTTTAGTTTTTAAAATCATTGTAACCTTAAAGGGGAAGGATTAAACTAGCCACGACACTGGCAGGCTGGTAAATATGCCTAATACTTGTGGCATATCTAAAGATTTAGAAAGGATACTATATGTCAAATCTCCTGTTCAGAAACTAAACTAAGAGAAGAATGAGAAAAAACCCTGAATCATGATAGCTTGATGCAGATGGAATAGCTTGAATATGAATGATCTGAACATATTGATCATAGCTAAAGACTAACAACAAAATAAAGCTCACTATCCAACATTTAAATGTCCTCTAGGTGGTAATATTTATATATACCTTGAATGTCTTTTTGGTTCAAATCCCTCGGTCTTTTTTTCCTCGTCTATTGGAAAAACGACAATAGAGAGCTAATTTCAACTTGTCAATAAGTTTCCACGGAGGTTCCATGAACAAGTAGTTAATCAACAATATTTTGATATGTCTGCCTACATATACTGTTAATTAGTAGCTCTATAGTATCTTACCTTTGACCCACATATAAGAAATTAGCATGACTGCCAACAAGGATCGATAGCATTCAGCAGAATCGAACCTCAATCATGATGGACACCTCTCATTTTATGAGATTATAGATGACTATGTGATAATCGTTTAGCTAACAATATATACGTGTGTGTGTATATTATGCATGTGTGCATGTTTGTCTTTAATTTCCCAGTGTTTGCACGCGTGGCAGATTACGGAACTAATTCAGACAAACGCAAAACCCAAAGACTTCTTTATGACTCTATATATATACACCTGCTGTGTGTGCCTGTTGTTTATACTTGAAGTTTACGCAGACCATACGATCAGAAAGGTTGTAGTAGCAGATAACCGCAAGATTCTCAGACTAAAAGAAATAGACATCGTGTGATTGCTTTGAATCAACACCCACATAATAAGCAGAATAACCATGATTGATCAAGATGGTTTCTTTAAGGATCTGAAACACTAAACGAAATATTTCCCATAGATTCATAGAAAACTACCTCTTGAACATAAATATTAACTAAGGGTTTATATATTTAGCTAGGTGACGTTGCACCCTTTAAAACTTTTCCGTGTTGAAATAAAAGTAGAGGTCTTGTATCATTACTTATTTAGCGTACGTACGTATATACAGGCTTCTGGATACCATCAGCAACGAGTACTGCAGCCCTAAAAAGAAAGAGACGTATACAGATTCAAGGTAGATATCATGAGCGATGTGTGCTACATATATCACAAAAACACACACACACACACAGAGAGACTAAAATATGGGTAATTAAAGGGCAGAGCAGTCAGTACGCACCTAGATATTGCTAGAGCCAAGTTCAGCTTTTAAGAGGAAGTTATTAAGAAGTGCAAGTACGTTTTGTAGAGCAACTAAATCAGGTCTTGACCATAAACCTAGCTGGGATTGGCAATTACTAATTAGTAATTACAGGATGATATTAATATTTAGTATAAGCTATAATTAAAGCTAATTTAAAACTAGGTTACAAAAACATAGCTCACTAAGAAACGTCAGATTTTCTTCTAATCAAGACTTCATAAAGTAATATTAAATGAAATCATACCAAAATTACACAAGATCTAAGAACGAAATCAATCATAAGGTAGCTTAGGGTTTTCAAACTTAATTATGAACATTTCTAGGGTTTGCTAGCTGGCCTAGTTTATTTTATATAATAATAGGTAGCAAAATGGCATGTCTTGGATACAGGTGGGGGCAAATATCCTCTAGGAATACCAAAATTGACAGAGCAAACAGAAAGTAT